AGACAGGGTTTCTCTGTGTAGCTTTGCGCCTTTCCTGGGACTCACTTGGTAGCCCAGGCTGGCCTCGAACTCACAGAGATCCGCCTGGCTCCGCCTCCCAAGTGCTGGGATTAAAGGCATGTGCCACCACCATCTGGCGATTTTCAGTTTTCAAAAATATGATGCTAACATCCTATAAAATGTAATAAGAAAAAGAAATGTCAAAGTGGAAAAGGTTTGTAATTGGATGAAAAAGAATTAATGGGGCTGGAGAGATGTCTCAGTGGTTAAGAACACTTGATGCTCTTCCAGAGGACCTAGACCCAGCTCCCAGCACCCATATGACAGCTCATAACTATGTACCTCCACTCCCAGGGGATCTGACACTCTCTTCTGGCCCTGAGGGAAGCAGGCATTCATGTAGTACATGGACATGCATTCAGTACATAGACATGTACTAAATATTCACATAAAAAATTAAAAAGAAAAAAAAACAACTTAAAAAATAATATAGGCATTCTAAAATTGGCAAATATATTCTGAAATAATCTTTCGGTACACAGAAATAAATTATTAGCCTCACAAAGAAATTAATTTGCTTTCATTTTGTGCCACAGAATCCATTTCTATACATTTTTAATTGGTAGAAATATCAGTATTACCTATTGATTTGGGGTTTGGTGGCAAAATGGTAAAAAATAAACAAATCAAATATTCTTATACATACATATAAACATATGTTCCAAATATTTAAGAAGACTATTTCTGCATGAGCATTATATGAAGATATTTCAAATAAAAACATGTAAAGAAAGAAAAAAGCACTAAAGACAGAAATAAAATCACTTTCAACAGAAGTAATCGCTAAGACTGCCCAGGGTACTGAGGACATCCATAAAGGCTGACTTAAATGAACTTTTCCAGAGGCTTAAGGAGCATGTCTTGAAGCTATAGTTTCACAATAAGCATTGTTTGTTTGTTTTGAATAAGTAAGCTCTTGTGAGCTCTTATAATCATGCTCATCCACAAACTTCAAGATAAGGCTGATGAAGATGCTCACCCTTATACCCCAAGTGACAGGCATGGTTCAGAGAAAGTACAGCAAGCAAGTGCAAAGTCCTTTCAAGAAGGCAGCACTCTCTGTACTCTGTGGGGCATTCTTTCCCTTCGAGTAACCAGGCCTTAGTGTTGCTTAAGCTGTGCTGAATTCTTGTGTTATATGTCATGTTTCACGGGGGCTGAGAATGTAGGACAAAATGAAGGCAAGTACACACTGCCTGTTTGTAGGAACATCTTTTGTGGTTTTGGACATGCAAGGGGAAGTCAAGCAGAACTACTGATCTAAGGGTTCAGAGAAGCATCCTCATAGTTCACAGCAAATCTTGATACTAGCCCTTCATTCCTTACCAGTGCACACAGTCTCCTAACCTCAGAAAACAGATGAATCCCTAGGAGGGGCAACACATTTATATTCTTGAGTATAGTTGAAATTTACATGTGCTGAGAGTAGGTGTGGTGCACGCTTCCTAAAGTAACTGTGAGGTCACATGAAGGCTCCTTGTATGCATGAATAGTATGTGAAATATTTACTTATATGTAAATATTACATTGTGCATTTTATTTTTCATAGCTATATGAGCTCTTAATAAATCCATTAAATAAGAGATTTTCCAGTTTTTCAGAAAACTTAGTAAAAGAGAAGCAACTTTATCTTAAAAGTATGAACAAGTTCATTAGCTCCCTGACTCAGTTTCCACCCCTCCCCATCAGGAGCTCAGAGTCCTGCATTGTCCTCTCTGTCACTTAACTCTTTCTTCTCATTCCTGATGGCACAGATGGTAGATATGCACCGTGCCTGGCCTTGTGATCTGTTTTCCACCCACACATTTTAGGTGTGTATGTGCCCTCTTTAATCAGATCTCAGAAGGTGAAAAACAGACAATTCCATCATTTCTCTTTCATTCTTCCTCATATATATGTACATAAATTATGTTATATGTGCCAAAAACTATAAAGTTAAAATCTAGAGCAAAAAGAAAAGAAACCGTTATGTCCTACCTCATTTTCTAAGTCTTCCCCTTCCCCATTTCCTATACCCCACTTGATCAGCAATTATTCGAAAGTAACTAGTTAAAAAAAAAATAAAGATATTAGAAGAAGGTAAACAGGGAAACGGCAATGAAACTATCAATGGAAATTTCACAACAGAGTAATTATATAATGGAACACATTAGAAGGAGAAGATATTTCACAATAAAACTATAATTGAAATGTGGCCTCTCTGAAAATTCAAAGGCAAGTAACAATGGCTTGAAGTAGAATTTTAAAAAGGCACGGGAAACATGAAGACTCAGAAAACCTTGGAAACAAAATGTGAATGAAGAGAGATGAAAATTAGAAGAAAGGGGGGGGAGAAAGTCACTCTGAAGTTGAGAGCCATAATAAAGGTGTTAAAAGGCAGACAGACACCAAAGCAGATGAGAAACAGACAAATGAGAAAAAGATGTGAGAAAAGAAAACATCTTCACACAGTCTGAAAGTGAGACCAAAGAATATTCTCATTACTCATAATTCTTTACCTTTGCTTGACCAAAGACATGCAAAACAAATAAGATAATACCAAAGCTATAAAAAGAATCAGCTAAAATCCAATAAAAATTTAAGGATATGTTGAACTAGTGGTCTAAACTCTTCACCAAAGGACTTCCTATCAAATCAAGTAACTGATAACAGATGTTGTTAAAACTGCAAAAAAAAACCCAGTAAATAAGCGAATAAACAAAGCACTTGGCATCCAAGAAATTAGAGAAAGTTGGTTGGAAGACAACATTGCCAACGCTGAACTCACTGAGAAGAGAGGAAAGTCCTGTGGATTCGGAATTGAAGAGACAATGAGCAGAACTGAGAATCAGGAAGGCGCCTGTGGGCTCTTTAGGATAGCTGCCTTGGAGAAACTACGGAGTAGATTTCCACCTTCACATAACACAGACTGTGCAGCCCGCGTGATGTAAGACTCTAAATAATTGTAGTATCTAAGAACTGATTCTTATTAGACACAAAGAGAGAGAGCCTGAGAGTTCCAAGTCTGAAATTTGGGTTCAAATCAATAGCAACTGCAGGTTCCAATAGATATCAAGCACAGACATTGATCTAGAAGCTAATTATCAAACAGCTCTAAGATTTGTGTGCAAACCACAAAGCCACTTGAAAAGCTGTTCTCACAAAATAGTCACCACACCACACACACACACACACACACACACACACACACACACACACACAAAACACACAAAACATGAATTGTAATTTAAAAGGTACAGTGTTCCAACGGAGGTTGCTATGTCATGTTTATTCACCTTTTAATGCATCTGCTCATATTTGTGGACAAGTGGCACCAGCCAAGCATTAAAATTACAACCAGCAAGCAAGTATTTGTTTTTCTTGAGGACAAGAAGAGAAAGGTTATATCTAGCAATTGAGAATGTTCTAGATGAGTTATAATACAGATTTCCACAGTGAAGAAAAAAATCAAGGAAGCATCAGATATCCTGTTAGACTAAAACATATTATGTGTCATAATGAAAATTTGAAGGAATGTGGTTAATAAGACTAATGTAACTACTTTTAAAAAATTAAAACAGTGGAAAGAGAATAAGATGTGAAAGGGAACAGGATTTTTAAATGAATAAATAATATCTATATTAAAAATAAAGTATAAATTAAATAAAAATAGAAATATTTAGAGAAAATGGTTAATAGGTTACAGATAAAATTAAACAAATATAAAAATAATACAAACTTGAAAATAATTTAGTTAAAAATTATAGAATGTAGCAAAATGATTAAAGACAGGACACTTTAAGAAAAGACTAAGAGGCACAGGATAATAAGTCACCACAAATAAATGGTCAATGGGAAATTCAGGAAAAAATAAACTGAGTAAATGAGAGGTAACATTTAAGGAAGTAATCATTGAGTATTTGCCTGATGAAATGCATTAATTCTCAGTCTCATAATCACAATTTATAAGTAGATTGGAGAACAAAAACTGATAAATACACAGATACCAATAGAAGGGGAAGATCTTAAAAATAACTAAACAGAATATATTGTATAAAATATATTTTCAACAAAAAAGATAAAAATAACTAGAAATAAATAATGAATCTTCCATAAATATATGGCACTTACACAGATAAAAACTATTCTCAAAATTAATTCTCAGATGTAGGAATACTGGTACTGTAGCAATACTGTTACAGGCAGCTATTGGAGACTGAAAGCTACCCTCTGGGTTTCCAGGTTCTTGTGTGCAGGAACAAGGAATTAGAGCAGGATGCTTGGGAAGTGGTAGAAACAGAGATCAACTTATCAGTGGGGGAAAAAAAACAACACTTCTGAGATTAGAGGTGAGTTTCAATGTAAAAACCTGCCAAGGATCCAATGACCCTGTGCCAGAACCTTGTGACCATCTCGTGGGTCATTTACACAGCCCCTTCCTTCCCCAGTACTCCCCAGTACTTTTTTCTGTGCTGCATAGACTGAAGTGGTAGAGGTGTGGTTTCAATGTTTGTCTTTTTTTTTTAAAGTATTCTAGCCTTGATGCCTCTTGACCTATCTCTCTACTCTACTCTCCTGCCTCAATATTTTTAAAGTGATAGGATAAAATAATATAATGTAAAAGTTATTCAAACATGAGTATAGAATAAATATATCTTCCAATGTAGAAAATCTGAAAGGATTTTCTACTAACAGTTTTTATTGAAAGAATTACTCAAGAATGTTTTTCCAGAAGAAGGATATCTAACACAAAAGGAAGAAAGCAGGACATAAAATAAAGGTAGGAATTGGTAAACATGGATGTAGTTTTAAATGAGAAACAGCTGCAAAATAAAATGACTAGCAATAACGAATAACTCAGCAATCTAAAAGGTGAATCCAAAATTCTAGAAAACAGTAATTTTTATAGCAGACATAATCATGATATATTTGAGATTTCGTCATATTTTGACTTTCTTTTTAAAGCAGAGAGAATAACTAATACACAGACATAGAATGTACTTTACCTGATAAAGAGATAAGGCAAAGGAAGAGCGAAGGGAAACAAGGAGGAAAGGAAGGAAACTCAAAGAGTAAACACAAATTATGTAAACAGACAAGCCAAATGGGTTTCAATATTCAGCTGCGTGGTTTTTCAAAGGCTATAACCAAGCCATAATGAAACACAAAGTTTCCCTGAGAAAAGACATGTATATAGTCTAAAATAAAGACATTGAACGCCGGGCGGTGGTGGCGCACGCCTTTAATCCCAGCACTCGGGAGGCAGAGCCAGGCGAATCTCTGTGAGTTCGAGGCCAGCCTGGGCTACCAAGTGAGTCCCAGGAAAGGCGCAAAGCTACACAGAGAAACCCTGTCTCGAAAAACCAAAAAAAAAAAAAAAAAAAAAAAGAAATTGAACATATATTAGACAGAACTCTAGTACAAACTACATCATTTAAAAAATTTATTAGTCTATATGCAGCGATGTCCTGAGGATCCTCGACTGACTGAATCTGTGGACGTGTTGATGCCCAATGTTGGTGAGATTGTGGGTGGTTCCATGCGCATTTGGGATAGTGAAGAAATTCTGGAAGGCTATAAAAGGGAAGGAATTGACCCTGCTCCTTATTACTGGTACACAGATCAGAGAAAATATGGTACATGTCCTCATGGAGGCTATGGCTTGGGCTTGGAAAGATTCCTAAGTTGGATTCTGAACAGGTATCACATCCGAGATGTGTGCTTGTACCCTCGATTCGTCCAGCGCTGCAGGCCATAACCAAGTGCCCCTGGAGCATGAAGGAAGGGAAAATATTCATGAGAAGATAAGACTGCCTCAGCAAAAGAACAAAAATCCAAAATCATCCCTTGACTTCCTGTTGGGTGTAGTAGCTTTTTTCTGTCTTCATGTTTTTTCTTCCCATTACCATAAAAAGCAGTAGGTGTGACTTGAACATCAAGCAACATTGATGTCCCATTAATAAAGATACTCATTTCAAAATTTTGAGGAAATACATGGCATGTCACTCTTTAGTTGGGAAGACATTTTATTGTACTGTAGGGTACAATCACTGTATTAAATAAACCATATATGATTATAAAAAAATTATTAGAAAATGGGTTCCAAATTCATTAGCCATATCCTTATTAAAATGATTATAAAAATAATAATAAAATGCAAAGAAAAAAAGGAGAGGAAAGGAAACGACACATAGAAACGAATATTCCTAAAGTGGAAAGGAACCAACAGAAAGGATAAGGAGCACTTAGAAGTGGCTTCATTGGAAAGACAGATGGTATGGGTTGTATGCCTCAGCATACTCTGGAAGAATACAACCATTCATAATTACAGGATGGAAATCATTGCACAGACTTAAATGATGATAGTCAGAATAGTCCTACAACAGTAGTCTGAAGACTAAAGAACTGTGGAAGTCAGTAGTTTTCTAGTACAAGATGTTGTAAACCTCAGAACAAGGGGGATCCATGAGATAATCCCAGACTTCAGCTAAAAGCTCACTAGTTTCTAGGCCAGGTGCTGGTTCAATTCCAAGTTCCAAGTTTGAAGAATCTGGAGTCTAATGGATAAGGGCAACTGTGAAAAGACATACCAGCTCAGAAAGAGCCTAATAACAGCAACGTGTGTGTGTGTGTGTGTGTGTGTGTGTGTGTGTGTGTGTGTGTGTGTGTGTGTGTACATGTTCTTCCCACTTACATGGTTTATGACAGCTGGCATCCATGTCTGTAACAGTATGCTGTCCACAGTCAAAATAAATGTTCTGCTTTCAGGTTGATAATACACATGCCGATACTCTCTGGAAATACCACACAGACCCCAGGGAATGTGATATATTGATATTTTAATCATCTTTTAGTCCAGGTAAGTAAAAAGTTAGTTAAAAGAAAAAAAGGGGGGGGAACCAGCTCTCAGAAAAGCAACTGTTACACATACTCTAAACATGAGCAAGAAAAGCCATACTCAGAACAGCAGCAGCAAAAATGAAAGGAGAAGCTGGTGGAAATCTTCCCCTGTGGCCCTGGGTGCTTGGCTCTGACAACAACAGAGCTGAAGAGAGACATCACTTCCAAAAGAAAAAGAAAAAGAAAAGGAAAGAAAGAAATTAGTTCTCATAGCAATGGAAGAAACTGTGCAAGCTCCCAAGATGGAAAAAAAAATCCAGCTATGATGCTAATGAACCACAACAATGACCAGAAGGAGTTGGTAGTCTGAACGGTGTGATGGTGACTTTTATCCCATGGGTAAGAAACAGCCACCTAATTGAACTTAGAGCCCACTCCTTACCCAATAGGAGGGAATTCATGTGTGCCACAGTAAACCCCACCAGCTGCTCGGAGCTGTGAGGTCGTGGAATCAAGACCTACTACTGCCCTTTCACTAAGCCAGTATAAGTTCTAACTACATTCTAAATACTTACACCCACAGATAAGGCTGTCTCTCAAGCTTCATCAAGAAAGCTTCTTTTTGTAGCAGATAAAGACTATTATAGAAATCCACAACTGGTCAAAGAGACAGTGGGAGTACATCTACAACACAACTCATACACATACAACTCAGAAAATATCACAGAAGAGGAAAGAGACAAAAGTGAATGATGAGAGAAACATGACCATAAAACTTTGTATACATATACATATACATATATATATATATATAATCATGTATATATTTCATATGTATGTGAAATCATGAAAGAATATTTTTTAAGAAACAGATGCCTTAAAAAAATCACAAAGATCACTGTGAAAAGATATCTGAGACACAGAGGATTTAAAAAAAAAAAACTTAAATAACATATCTCTAAGATGAAGACTGGAAAAGAGAGTAACAGTAAAGGATATGAATAAAAAGCAAATGTTGATTGAAGATATAAAAATAAAAAGATGACATTCCACCCACAACATTGA